CTAAAGATTCATCACATAATGTTATTTGCAGGATCAAAGTTCTCAGTAGGTATATTATTTCTTATTGAATAAATTACAATCCCTCAGCTTGCTACTACAGTCCCTGCCCAATAAGATTCCAAATCATTATACTTAATCTCTTGTCTTAGTTACTCTTCTCTCCTTGCTGGGACGAATACCTGATACTCAAGATGAAAAAGGAAAGGTTTATTTATCTCACAGCTACTAGAGGTTTTGGTCCATACTCAACTGGCTCCAAGGCAGAGTGGCACATGGCCTAGGGCAGCAGTTTGTGGCAGTGAAAGGCAGCAAAATAGCAAGAGCAAAAGGGAGGAGTAACAGCAAAAATGGCTACAGAGAGCAAGTCTCTCTTTATATTGCCTTCTGGCTTTCTGTCCCAGGCTGGGTGTAGCACTGACACCCATAATCCCAGCAGTACTCTGATTTATAATCCCAGGCTTGGATCATGGAATAACCCCAAACTCTAAAACTGTGCCCCATGAATGCATGGGGATTTGGGTGGACAACTAGACACAAACCATAACATCTGTCATCATACTTCGGCAGGAACATTTTGCTTCAGTAAGTAGACTAATTGTCAATTTCTCTACATATTTTATGTATTCCTTTCTTGGTGTCTTGGGGCTTTATACCCTTTATTGAAAAAGTATCTGATAATAAATTGAATATTTTGAATTAGTAGAATAAGAACTATCTTTAAGGATATGCAAGATATCCTGGATCCAAGGTTGATCACATTTTGTACTTTTTTGTTTCTTTCATTAAATTGTTTATCCTTAAAATCAGGTCAAAATGAATAGTTCTATTTTTTTAAAAAAAGAAATCTGATAGTGATCTGAAATTTTATAAAGAAATGTAATAAGGAAGAGGGGTAGTTACTCTTGGAATCATATAAACTTTTAATAATTTCCATGTGGGAAAACTTTGTCCCCAGAGTTGGGAAAGCTTCCAAGAAGAACTTGTGATCAAGATTGGAGTAAAAGTGAACATTCAAGCTGGTTAATAGAAAAATCAACCATAGCCCTGAGGCAGACTTTTTTTAAATTGTGCTTTTAGTTAACAGGCTCTGAAGAAAATCCTAAAATATTATTTCCAATTGTGTTTTGAGCAATACAGCCATTGTTGAAATTAAGGAATGTACACTTAGGCTTCTACTTTGAAAAACAGGAATGATATAATGACTCATAAGTTTAAAATTCCCATTCAGATGTTCAAGTTACATGGTATGATAAACCTGGTAACCCTCATAATCTGAAAGCATCTTGAATTGAGAATGCATTTAATACATCTAATTTACCAAGAATCATAGCTCAATCTAATCTATCTTAAATGGGCTCAAAACACATTAAGCTATAACTGGAAAAATTCGCCCAATATAAGCCTATTTCACCATAAAATGTTGACTTTTTCAAGTAACTTATTGAATATCATGCTGAAAGTGAAACGGCTTCTACTAAATGTATATTACTTTTGCAAAATAAAACTAAAAAATCAGGTCAAAACATGAAAGTCAGATTCACCTGCACTTAGACAAAAATTTTAAGTGGGTTAAACTTATGTAAGAACTCTAAATTATTTTTAAAAATTACTGCTTTGTGAAATAAAATATTTTAGAAGTCACAAGACTGAAGTCTACAAGCACTGTTTGATTCACTGAAAGGTGACACATCAAAGCAAAAGTGCTCATCTCCTTTGGCTACTTACCAGTGCAAATACATATTTCTCCAAGTTGTTGTGTGAATCTTGTTTTAGTTTCCAGTTGACAAATTTCCCCAGAACAGCTGCCACCTTGATGTTAAACACAACAAGACTTTGTTCAAATCTTTGACAAGAGGCAAGATTTATGACAATGTTGTCTGATCTGCAGTCATCATTTTAGAAGGTTTTATGTACTGCACAAGCAGCAAAATGACTTCCAGAGTTGTCAGAATTTAAACAAGTTATGAAAATGTTACTTGGGCTGGTGAGATGGCTCAGTGGTCTAAAGCACCTACTTAGAACAAGCTTAGCAAAGCATAAGGGATCACAGTTCAATCCCCCAGCACCACATGCCAGCCAGCCCCGCCCCCTGGTGGGCTGAGCAGGGACACACACACATAAATAAATAAATAAATAAATAATTTTTTTTTTAAAAGAAAATGTTACTTGTTACTATTGATTTTTTTGTTTGCATTTGCATACAATTCTATCAAAAAGGAGATAACTTGTGTTGCCATGAAGTTTCATAAAAAAATTTAAATGCTTTGCAAAGATTAAAGGCCTAGACAATTGCAAAATACTGTTAGATGGTACTCATATGAAAATTTCTGCTTGAAATTTTCAATTTTTCTCCTTTATAGTTTTGGAATTACATGGATATAATTTTTCATATGTAAAAGAAAATACCCAGGAATGTATTTGGATGTTATTTCTAAAACACTACTGCAATTACTTCAGTTATGTTTAAAATTGCTCTAAAGCATGACAGTACTTTCTTCACTCTTTCCCTTGTTTTCCTTCTTCCTCATCCTACTTCACTATCAGCAGCTCTTCCTCCTTTTTCTCCTCTGCCTCCTCCTTCTTTCTTTTCTTCCTCTTTTTTATTTGTGGTGCTGGGGTTCAAACTCTTGATTCCTAGTTGGTAGGTTAATGAACAATATTTTCCTAAAAAATTTGTATACTTAAGAACATCATAAAATGACTATTGTGAATATAAAATATAAAATTACAAAGTATAAAGTGAAGTTAAATATAAATAAATATAGCAAAACCATTCATTACAGTTGGAAATGAAAATCATAATGTAAATCAAGCTTGCTTTCTGACTTTCAACCCATAATTTCTTTATAATGTTGTATTATAATTCTAAAACTTATTTTTATTAGCATTTGGTTCATATTTTATTGGAGGTTTTTATTTTTCAAATCAATTTTTAGCAATCTGTTAGCAACTACTTTATTCTCAGGTTAGTAATTCTTCATAATCACTATATTACAAAATATACAAGAAATGAGTTTCTTATAATTTAATAGCATAAGACACTGAAAAGCTCATGATCTTTCAAAGTGTAATCAAGGCACTATCTCTGCGTGAATTTGGGACTGCGGAGAGCCCAGAAAGCCTGCGATGTTCCCTTGCTCAATCAGTTGGACATTCTTATTACCACAGTTCCAAAGGTACTGATAGAATCAAAGATGGACACAAAGTGAATTTACATATGGCCAAGCTGCAAGAGCATCCAGATCTCACCTTGGGCTAGAAGTGTTACCTGTGCAGCATTGCTAAGATCTATAATGCAAACTACCCGAGGACATTAATGAAGGGGCAGTACATGAATGTGCTTCAGCACAGCTCATTAAAGCCAGGGTCACCATTCATCACAGGAGTCGCCTCAGCTCTCGTTACTCACAGAAACAGCATTATCCCTGCACTACATGGTGACACCAGAGGCAAAGAGAGGACTCTTCTAGCAGCACAGATGCATCTTCACCTGAAATGACCATCCAGCACTCTTTTTTAAGGACAGTGAAAAACAAAGAAGGGTTAAAAATTGGACATGCATCTAAAATAAGATGTAAGTCACTGAAGATGTTCAGATGACCAAACAAACTATTCATGCAATCAGTTTCTTCAAATGATTCTGGATCATACATGAGTGAAGAAAAAAAGGAAGACTATCTATTAAATAAATGTATGCAATCAATGTCCATTGAAAAACAGGGAGAATATTTAATGTTAACTTGATAATCTTGTTACTGAATTCAAACAGCAGCTGATGTCTAGATAACATGCCAAAAGGGTCTTAATTACTCCCGCTGTGTGTAGGATAGTGTTATTTACCTTTAAGTCATTCATTTTGGTTTAGAAACTTTCATAACATTGTAATTGGTCTGATACAGTTCTATATACCAGTGCCACTTCTGTAATAGAATTTATGTGTAATATATGCTTGTATTTCTGTGTAGGTAAGTTAGAAATTTTTTGTCAGTTAAAACTGAATTCTTTTTCTTTGACAAAGCATTGTATAATTCTTTCTGTTTACAATAAATAGTAATATGGCAACATTAAAAAAGTGTAATCAAGGTATTCAATTAAAGGTTATTGTATTTGGTTTTGTTTTATTGGATTCAAGATATTTATGCTATTTTGAGGAATCAAAACAGTAACAAAGCCATTTATTGATTTAGATATACAGTCATACACACATCACATATTTATTGAATGGTTACTGGATATTAAGAGTTCTTGTACAGAAGATAAAGTAGTGAACAAGACAAACATTATCCTTTCTTTCACATTATTTAGAGACTAGTTAGGAGGATCAGTGAAATCACAGTTACAGCGAATGTGATATTGTGGTTTTGTTTTGTTTTAGAGTCAAAACCAAAATCCACATGATCATCTCAATAGATGTAGAAAAGGCTTTTGACAAAGTTCAAAGCATTCATGATCAAAGCCCTACAAAAAATTGCAATAGGTGGCCTCTATTTCAAACTCATAAAAGCTATCTATGACAAACCAACAGCCAACCTCATTCTAAGTGGAGAAAACCTGAATGATTTACTCTCAAATCAGGTATAAGACAAGGATGTTCTCTATCACTAGTCCTATTCAATATAGCTCTGAAATCATTAGCTAGAGCCATTAGATAAGAGAGAAATAAAAAAAAAAGAATGAGATGAGGTAAAGAAGAAATGAAACTATCATTATTTGCAGATGACCCAAAAAGCTTAACCAAGAAGCTCCTAGAATTAATAAACAAATTCAGTAGCATAGCAGGATACAGTCAACATGCAAAAATCAATAGTATTCCTGTACAAAGATAGCAAGCTCTCTGAGAGAGAAAGTAGAGAAGAAATACCCGTCACAACAGCATTCAAGAAAAAAGAAAGAAAGAAAGAAAGAAAGAAAGAATTAAGAATCAATCTAACAAAGGAAGTAAAATATCTATACAATGAAAACTACAGCCCTCTACAAAAACAGATAGAAGAGGATTTCAGAAAATGGAAAGATATTTCTTGCTCCTGGATTGGAAGAACCAACATTGTGAAATTGGCCATACTCCCAAAATTATTATACAGATTTAATGCAATCTCTATTAAAATACCTTTAATATTCACCTCAGATCTAGATAAAACATTCTAAAAATTCATTTGCAACCAGAAAAGACATAGAATGGCAAAAGTGCTCTTGGGGAACAAAGGCAAAGCAGGAGGCATTAAAATTCCTGACTTGGGGCTGGTGAGATGGCTCAGTGGTCTAAAGCACCTACTTAGAACAAGCTTAACAAAGCACAGGGACCGCGGTTCAATCCCCCAGCACCACATGCCAGCCAGCCCCGCCCCCTGGTGGGCTGAGCTGGCCACACACACA